AAATTTCCATAAAATTCAAGCAGAGACCTTTCATTTGATATACAACAACCTATAGTTGGCACTATATGACCCTTGAGGCCCTTCAAAAATTGATTTTCGTAAAATTCAAGCAAAATATTTCATTTGATATACAACAACCTATATAGTTGACATAATATTCACAATATGGCCCTTGGGGCTCTTCAAAAATTGATTTTCGTGAAATTCAAGCATAGACCTGTCATTTGATATATAACAACCTATAATTGGCATAATATTTACTATATGGCCCTTGGGGCCCTTCAAAAATTGATTTTGTTAAAAATCAAGCAGATAGAGCCCTTCAAGCAATCCGATTTGATAGCATTTGCTTTCAACGAGGTCTGCAGCACCAGAATCGCCGTTCTCACTTGTCAGAGATGGATGACCTTGAATTGAACCATTTTAGGTATTTTTGAGCTTAACTTTTCTTATGGAGATCAACATGGGAAAAGTGGCAAAAATATCTAGAACTCTTGTAGCTCATTTACTTATTATCATTGTAGAAATACGACTTTGCATTCTTGATTTAAAAAAGGTGCACCCGTAGATATTGGCGATTGCTTAATGTCCGCAACATGATACATCGCCAATGAGTTGTCAGGACATTATATTGTTGATTAATTTCAGTAACCATACTAAGCAACCACGCAACTTCTGATTGTGGCATTAACCCGAGAGTCAATGATGCGATGGGATTTGAACTTCGAGGTGAAGCTCTATGGTAACTGAATCCAGGAAGTATTATATGTATCACGATGTGTCATTTTGTTGAATGTTGATGAAAATATATTTGAATATTCAATGCCTTATTGTATCTCTTTGAATGTTTGTTTATTACTTCTTCGACCATCGATATTGATCTATTATGAGATGTGAATGCAAACAATACATCGGTAATTTGCTGGAGTCCCACTTTGATGTTCAAATCATAATTCTATCTCAGAGTATTTGTCAACTCTGGAATATTTCCCGATCTTCATATGCAAACAGAGCAGAACAGTATAAAATATGAAATAGATTAAATATACTGTTTGTAGGTTAATCATGATTCCAGATTTTTCGGAATTTTTTCTCCTTGTTTCTACAAAATAAGAATATGAATATAATTTCATTATACGTGTAGTATATATAAGTACAATTCAGATGATTTGCCCCAAAATCTCACTGCGTTCAAAGAATTTTCCTATCAGAGAGCCTAAAAGAAAAATTCACTAGCTTGTCAGTGACAATTTGTATTGAAAAAAGTTTGGAGAAGATAAATAAAGGTATATAGAGAGGATATCAAATTTTCATTTGGCTTTGGACTTTTCGGGAACAAATCTGCTCCCGTTTTCAACATGAGAAATGGATTTTTTGTATGGCAAATTCGTATTTTTCCTGACACTCTTCAGTCCTCAGTGACAATTGTTCTATCTACATCAACTGAACAGGAAGCAATGCTATTGTCTCCGTTCAGAAGAATGCAAGCAGATTCCTTGATTCTTCTCTTCTGGTTGTTATCTTATTTTCACTACTGAAATCTGAAAATGGAAATGGTAAATTCAAGATTAATTGATGAAAACATCATGTAACTCATTTGATTGCCAATGTCACCAATTGCCACTGAGAACTGAAGAGTGTCAGGACAAATACGAATTTGCTATACAAAAAATCCATTTTTCATTGTTGGGAACGGGAGCACATTCGTTCCTGAAACGTTAAAAACTAAGTGAAAATTTGATATTTTTTTTTATATACCTTATTTATTTCTCTTCTTTCAACGTTTTTCAATACAAATTGTCACTGATAGGAAAATTCTTTGAACGCAGTGACATTCCTAACTACACGTATATTGAAATAATATTCATATTTCTATTTTATAGAAACGAAGAGGAAAAATCCCAAAGAATCTGGAATAATGAATGCAATAGATATTGAATTGTATTTCTGATTTGAGGCAAACATTGTTATCCATTGGGTTTGAGTAAATGTTATACATAATATATGATGGTATCAAAATCGAATTTTCACTCACGAAATTATTATTCCTATTTTTTATTTATCTTATTAATTTGTAAGTATATCGTATTTCGGTGTTGAGAATCAACTACCCAGAAGTCGAAACTTGTGCAGGGTTAGGAAGAGCGGGACCTACAGCTTATAGTGGATTCAGAACCACTTCTAGGGCGTCGCATATAATATCCAACCAAACTCCACCTTGTGTGTTAATATGTGAAACGAGAATGATGTGAACAGAAGAAGAAATATTCCCACAGATTTTACACATCCCTATATGGACATTGTTCATTGCTTATCAATTGGATTATGCATGAATATTCATTTTGATCAATTTCATCATTATATTCATCAGGTGCATATTTATACCCATAACATAACCTATCAATAAATAATTTTAGGTATACCTGCAGTGGAAATTAATGCGGGCGAAAAAATAAACGATAGGTAGGTAGTTGCGACTTTTCAATAAGATGCCAGATAATATGAAACAAATGAAATTTGAGCTATTCAAAACAACCACATAAAACACACGCATTTTAGTTAGCAACAGTTTCTACTCCGTTGAGGAATAACTCAGTGCCGATTTCTAAAAAGAAAAATAATGATCATCACACAGTTCACACAGTGATTTTATGAGTATGTATTTTAATAAAAATTGTCTGTTTATTTACAAATTCACATATATAAATGTCTTTGACCTGCTATAAATGTGCTTTGTATGTACATAAAATAGTCATAGTAGAAGATCCGAACCTAAATCGACCTTCACCGAGCTGATAATAGAACGAAATATATTTTATCATGAATTTAGTATATTAGAAAACATATTAAAAATGGGTTGGCTAAAAAAATCCTGGGCAGACTATTTTTAGTTATTTTTCGAAAAATTATTTTTAATTAAATGTTGCAACATCAGGATAATAAAAAAAATGTGTCCTGACTGAAAGTATAAAACGTATAGAATGTGCAGCCGTTGGGTTGTCTACTATTTACCTGGGCGAACTACTGGGTTGTCAGGTAAACACAGGTATATCGATGCCAGTTACTTTCACTGGATTGGATAATTTAAAAAAATTTATATCATCATAAGCGCTGTTTAATTGCGAACACGTTGATATAGGGTTGTCTGCTAAAATTCCGGTCCTATTAGGGGTTTGCGAATTTTAAAGATTTTAATTTCAACGCGCGTGGAAGTGTGTGACAGAGAGATCCGAGGTAAGTATACTGTGTAATAATAAAGGACCCAACATCGCAGTCGCTTGTGATGGGACCCTGAATAGTAGAAAGTGCGCATGCTCGGTGTGTAAACTATGGAGGGTAGAGGTACCTCTACTACCCTTCATATAGTAAACAGTGCGTGTTATTTTGGAGCAACTGATATTTCAGTAGCAAAAAAAAATTAATTAATTACATAATAATTAAATATATTTAATATAATACTAATATATAAAAACATTATAATATCAATATATTGCGTTATAACCATAATGATATATCTATAATCTATAATAGACAATAAAAATATCAATTACTTACTTTGAAATTTTTTTTGCTCTTTCTGGGAATAGAAACAAAGTGGACCGCCAAAAATTTAAATTAAGAAATAACAAAAAAGATAGACTAGACATCTTGTATTACGATTTAAAATTTTATTAAAAAACAGTATAAATACAAAAATAATATTAATGAAAAATAAATTCTAATAAATATTTTCTATTCAATATCTGATTCATCAGAAGTATCATTTTGACTCTCGAATTCGTCTGATTCATTAGATTCTTCCTCATTTGCTTCCATTCCGACAATGTCCTGGATTTTCAAAGGAGTTTGATCTCCGATAAAACCTGTTGGTTTTAAGAATCATCAAAATGCCAACCATAGGTTTCAGGATTTGACTTCGCACACTTCGCACACTTTCTACTATTCAGGGTCCCATCACAAGCGACTGCGATGTTGGGTCCTTTATTATTACACAGTATACTTACCTCGGATCTCTCTGTCACACACTTCCACGCGCGTTGAAATTAAAATCTTTAAAATTCGCAAACCCCTAATAGGACCGGAATTTTCGCAGACAACCCTATATCAACGTGTTCGCAATTAAACAGCGCTTATGATGATATAAATTTTTTTAAATTATCCAATCCAGTGAAAGTAACTGGCATCGATATACCTGTGTTTACCTGACAACCCAGTAGTTCGCCCAGGTAAATAGTAGACAACCCAACGGCTGCACATTCTATACGTTTCATACTTTCAGTCAGGACACAATTTTTTTATTATCCTGATGTTGCAACATTTAATTAAAAATAATTTTTCGAAAAATAATTAAAAATAGTCTGCCCAGGATTTTTTTAGCCAACCCATTTTTAATATGTTTTCTAATATTCTAAATTCATGATAAAATATATTTCGTTCTATTATCAGCTCGGTGAAGGTCGATTTAGGTTCGGATCTTAGACTATCAATAAACTTCTATTCTTCTATTCTATTCTATTCATGTCATCAAATAGGATATCTCAGAAAGTTGCGGTGAGAGGTCTTCTTGAAGAAGTTGCTTGGATATAGTTTATGGAAGTTTATCCAAGATACGTTATTCCAATTTCTAATAATATCACGAATTCGATATTTGCAATTGAAGAAATTTGCGCTGAGGAAATCTCAAAGCTAACAATATGTGGATGTTCATCTCCACAAAGCGCAATCCTTAGAACATCTATATGATGTTTGGTGTGATATTTATATAGGTATTCCTTGCGACTTACTATTACGTCGCTGGTTGACTGGGTAATGACCTGTTCGGATAATTTTCTACATTCCTACCTATGATATAAAAAAACTCAATTATCATTCGAAAAGAATAATCGAAAAACGTTCAATCATTATCGCGTTCACACTGATATGACTGACGTCCTACACATCATTCACATACCTAACTGGAGGGAAAAATCAACATCCGCATTTATTATATTATTATATAGCGAGTTTACAGAACTCTTCTTTCCATCAAAATAAGACGGGAGATTAGAGATAAACTTAGCTTCACTCATTGTAACGTTTAATTTCAGTATTTAAGATACCGACACCAAGGTTAGTGAGTGAATAAAAAGCCCACGTTTTTCGAATTGTGTTCGAAAACAGACGCATTTTTTCGTGCCTAAGAACGTGTTCAATAAAGATAAACCGAAACTTTTTTCTTTTCATTCAGTGTCGCGGAGGTTGAGTCTGTGACGGTGTTTTGTTTTTATTCGATTATTTTTTTAAACAGATAAGATAGATTCAACGAGTTATATTTTTTGTTGACAAAAACGCGGTGATAAGTGCTGTAATTCAGTGTTTCGGTGTTGGTGAGAAATAATTTGCAGTTAGTATTATTTCTTCATTATTTCAAAATTCCCTACAACAAGTGAGTATTCCTATCTAATTACGAAATAGGAACATAATTGAATTTTCGAAGCAAAGGTGCGTTCTAAATAAAGTGCTCAAAGCAACAAGTGTACCTCTTGAATTCTCGATGTTTTTTAAAATGCGATAACTTTCTTGCAAATCAATTGATTTCCAATCAGAAGGTGGGCCCCTTTCTGTTTATGATTCATTGTTCGAAACTTATCAAAGGTTACCAGTTATTACATACCAAAGTGGCCGAAAAGAGTGTTACCTCGAGTATTACATAATTGAAAGAGTTTAGGAGCAGGAATGTATTATTCATCCTTCTGCAAATCATCTTTCTCTCATCTTCAAGTCAATTTCTCGAAATGATTTCGGAATTTTCGACACAGGATGTGAAATATCGATGTTTTTCGATATTCTGTGTTTTCATGCATTTCTGCGGATATATAATAAAATTCAGACGCTACTGAAACCAAACTGCACTGTAAAACGATCGAATCCATTAGTGGAGAAGATATCTACCTTTCTTCAAGATCAGCAGAACTTTCGACAATAATAAAATGAGCGATTTTTAAATGTGTGAGATTATCTGAAATCGTTTGTGTATGTTGTTGCTGCTACAAAATATTGTGCTTGTGAAATTATGAACACCGAGAGAAATATCTATTAGCTGTTATACGAAATTGTATGACCATTGAAAGAGTACTGTATTGAATAGGCGCCAGCACAGTTCCCTTTCAACTGTGATCAAGTTTAACATTTCAAAATAATCATATAACTGTTGAACAGCACGAATATAAGCATGAAATATTGAAATGACGCTCATACAAGTTTAATATCAATATTACTCGTTTTCAATTTTATAGTCAAATGATTAGCATATCAATATTGAAAGGTGATATTATAAAAATGGAATAATAGGTACTCATATCAATATAATTTGGTTTCAATTTAATAGTTGAATGATCGTCATCTCAGTATCAGGGTGATATTTTTTTCCAGAAAGATGCAGTAGGTCATAGATTTTCGAGAAATATTGAAGTAGAATTCGTAGAGGAGCTATATACAGGGCATTGAAGTGAACAAGGGCAATTTACTCAGTTAACGATATCTCGTTAGTTCGGCTGAAACAAATATTTTTCCAATTCGGACTGTATCATATTTCCGTCACTACCTTGGATTATCAACATATAGTTGTAAAAATAAACACAGTAGGTATAGCGAAAGTGAATTAGTGTTCACGAAACGAATTTCACTGCCAACGTTTCCTATGAAGAACTGTTGGCAATATTTCTTTCGAATTTCTAAGCATCAAATAGAATTATATGCGAATTCAAAAATATATGTAGGCAATACAATCCATGGGTGATATACGCCAATAATCCTAGCAGAACCATTTTGACATTTCAGATTTGCAATAGTCCTATAATTTCTTACTAATTTAGTACTATTTCATTACCATATTCGCGAAATTATTCCCCTTCATTAAACAGAAAAAACCAACGACTTTGCTAGCTTTATGTCAACCTAGCAGAACCATGGCTGAAAATTTATTTTTTTCAATTTCAAATAAACCAAAATTCAATACTATTCAAATACTAACTAACTATATTCAAGAATTTTTCAGTCATCATTCGACGGAATGAAACGCCGATTTGTCAATCTCGATCTCAACCTAGCAGAACAAAAACTCTTAATCACATGTTATTCGAAATTCTATTGAGTCATCAATAAGTAACTAGTTTATCACTAATTTATTACATTGAAAAATTTGCAACCCTTTTTCCATCAGGAAAATGAACGGCTCTGCTATCTTCCCTAACAACACAGGGATGTCCTAGGTACGTCCCATTTTTGTCCCGCGGTACAAGGACATGATTGGGTCATCCAGGGGTCATCCTGCAGTGGTTGACTAGTGGACATCTCGCCCGGTACATCCCTAGGTTATCCTATTCGTGTCCCTGGAGTATCTGATATCCATTCACATCAGAGTCATTGAATTTTAAACTATTGAGTTGACTATTTTTGAAAATGTTTGTTTTTTTTTCCGGAAAATGATTGTAATGAAAATGAAGAATGAAGTCTCAGAACTTCTTAAGAAATAACCATTTTTCGCAGACAGAAATCGTACATGCATAATGCCCCTCATTTTTAAACACCCAAGAATGATAATAATTATACCCAATTTCTAACAAAGTTGTATTTATTCAGGTTTCTGTAGTTAAGTCCTGTTTATAAATCTGTTTAGTACATGAATCTTCGGGAGGCATGATAGCCAATGGAGCAAGGTGCGTGCATATGATATGCCAAAGATCCCAGGTCTCGGGTTCAATCCCTACTCGACCTACAACTTTTTTTTTGTCGAAAGGATGTCCCTCTTTCATCACTAACTTGAAACAATAATCACAAATTTTTTACTCATCATTCGATGGAAAAAAATTACGATTTTTCAATCTCGATCTCGACCTAACAGAACCAAAACTAATCGCATTTTATTAAACATATTCTATTGAGTAATCAATAAGTCAATAGTTTATTATTAATTCATTACCACTCCCGCCAATTTGCAACCCTTCTTTCATAAGAAGTAACCAACGGCTCTGCTAGCTTTATGTCAACCTAGCGAAACCATAGCTGAAAAATATATTTTTGTAAACTTCAAATATACGATAATTTATTACTATTTAATTACTAACTCATAACTATATTCAGGAATTTTTTACTCATTATTCGATGGAAATAAACGCCGATTTGTGTCAACCTAGTAAATACCATGTTATATCCATATCATCATATCATAGCTTTGACTCATCGAAATGTCTTTTCTTGTATTTGTGTTCTTTCATCCTTACAGAGAGAGGTCTCTTCGTAAAATGAATGTAACACCTCCTCGAGTAACCTATAGACAGTATTTAAAAATTGATTTTCTGAAAATTTTGATTGAACCATAATTCATACTATTCAGCTAATGATTTGTGAATGACAATGATCACGAATTTTTTACTCATCATTCGATGGAGAAAAACGTCGATTCAATTAAATGGTAATATAAATTACGGTATATTTGAAATTTCCCAAATAATGGATTTTCAGCTATGGTTCTGCTGGGTTGACATAAAGCTAGCAGAGCCGTTGGTTTTTTCTCATGGAGGAAGGGTTGCAAATTTGCGAATGTGGTGATAAATTAGTAATAATCTAGTAGCATATTGATGACTCAATAGAATTTTTAATAAAATGTGATTAGAGTTAAGGTTCTGCTAAGTATATTGGGATCAACGATGTTACTTTGTGAGCGTTTGCCACTATAGTGAATTTTCATCAAAGAGAAGCCAAGAAGTTTTTTTTGTCCAAATTGAAAGAATTGCCGATAGATGAACTAACCAATATATCGTGAAAATACTACTCTTTGATGCACTTCAATACCCTGTACTTCCTTATCGAAACCTACTTGGGAAGAATACATAAATATTCTAAATATTCCTAGATAATCTTTCAACCACTTCACTTTCTCGGAAAAAAATAATTTCACCCTGTACGAAGAGTTCTGGTGCTGTTTGGCTACACAGCTAACATGTCAGGAATACGGAGATGACTGATCACTATTTCATTATTAATTGATCAAGGGTTCATGTGGTGAGTGAGATGAATCATTGAGGCATACGTGTATGACAAGTATATGAAAGTAGGGGTGAAACTGAATGCGACCTATTCAACTGTGAAAAGACATCTTTCAGGGGTGAAGGAAAATATTTCAAATTCCATCTTGTCCTATATCGAATCTAAAAGTATTAAATCTTTAATTGCTTATTCTTCTCGTCGTACCTATTTGAAACAAAAAGATTGTGCTGAAGAGGGGGAAGAGGGCTACCTGTTTCACGTTGTAAATGTTGACTTTCAACGTTCAACAGATAAGATTTCGTGGTTGAAATGTGTCAATTAGAGGTCATGATTTTTTTTCAATAGAAACTTGTATAATTGGATTTTCCTCGGTGAATTGCTCATTCCGATGAATTACACCTGTCAACATCTTTACTCTGAACCATTTCGTGATTTCCCAGTTGAGTAAATTCCAGGTGCCGCAAATGTGCACTTTTGGATTATGCATCAGTACTTGTAACGGTTTACTTGTAGGACCACCCCGTATAGTGTATAATTTGCGATTCGATTCTTTGTGATGCGTAGGCAACCAATCTTACATTCGATACAAATCGTCCTATAATTTGAATGAATATTAGCGCCAATTATACCAATACATATTCTCATATAATTGAAGTTATTCTTCTCATTCTAATAGTGAATCCATGAACTACAAATCAACTTTTAATAATCGTTAGGTAACCTGATGAAGTATAGGGTAAAATTCGGGATGAAATATGCAAATTTTCCGGAGTTAATTTGTGTACTTCCCATCATCCGATTTGAAAATCATTTCAAGGATCCATTTCTTGGAGACATAATATTGTTTCGCATTTTCTTTCGCATACCTATTCTATTCGATGTTCTCTGTCCAGAATAAGGGTTTATCATCCTTGTCAACTCATTGTTTCCGTCTTGAATTTGTTGATTTCTTGAGTGACGTGATTAAATATCTCTTTGTAATTATAAAAATCAAACCAAACATTTCGAAATTCAGAATATTCTGAATGTTCATTTTGAATTTCCATATTATGATCTGAACTTTACGGTTACCTATTGTCACTATCTTTTTCTTCACTTTCAGATGATTATTTATACTTATTGCCAATTTATTGAATAGGGAATTTCATTCTTAATATATTATACCTGTCTCCTCGACTCCCCTTGTTTAATTTGGCTAAAAATCCGTTATTGTGGGATATCCGACTGGCGCCCACAGCTTACTTATTTTTACGTAACATCTAGTGAAATAAAGTCCATCTTTCAATTATTGTGTTATTTTAATAAATTCGTTCGAGTGCATGTTTCAAATCACGACCCACGATCCATATTATCTCT